TGCACCTTCCAACTTCACAGCAAATGCACTATGGGCCCCCAGCCCCCTCAGGGCAGCTCCCTACAAGGGCAAGCAGAGCAAGTCAGAACTTTCCCCACATCCAGGGCCGCCCTGGGAGAAAGAGACCCGCCATCTCCCGAGGCCTCTCCCCCTCCTCCGAGGTCACACCAATATCTTCTCAACCACAGGGAGCAAAAAAGGGTCAGCAGGCACATATTCCATTTCAAGAGAAGATGTGAAACCACCAGGTTCTTGCCCGTCATAGGAAAAAATAATTGCACCTGCCCAGGTGGTGAAGGGCGGGGAAGCTTGGCATGCTACAGTCCACGGGGTCTCAAAGAGTGGGACATGACTGAGCAACTGAACAGCAAGGTGGCGCTAGTGGTAAAGAACTGGCCTGCCAATGCAGGAGACGTAAGAGATGTGCGTTTGCTCCCTGGGTCGGGAAGGTCCCGAGGAGGAGGGCATGGCAACCCACTCCAGTATTCTTGCCTGGAGAACTCCATGGAGAGAGGAGCCCGGTGGGCTACAGTCCATGGGGTCTCACAGAGTCGGACACAACTGAGGTGATTGAGCACAGCATAGCCCTGTAATCTAATTATGTGCCTGTGTTGGGGTATTTTCCAGGCACCTGGATGACGAGGCAGCCTGTCTCAATATTTTAATCACAAGCACAGTTCTGGAAAGGGTCCAGGTTTCCATTATAATGACACTCTATGCTTTTGAGGATCTGCCAGCCTCTCTTGCTTCAGAGACCCGGAAGGCCTGGACCCAGACAAATTCTAGAAATGTAGCATAGGTGTCAGGACAAGCCTGCCTGGGCAAGAAGGCCCCCGCACACCCACTCAGAACACTCTGAAGCTTGAAGTGGGGCTCAGGAATGCAGCATTCGAAAGCCGGCCTCCCCAGTACATCCCCTGATCTGCCCCCGACTTAATCACCACTACACAGGAGCACAGCCAAACCACCCGACCGCCTGCCCGCGGTGTCCGCTGGAAGCATCTCAGAGGGCGGCTGTGGATACAGCCCTCTCTTTGCCCAGAGAGATGAAGCAATCAGCCTGACTAGAAGCCAAGGCGTCCTGGGGTGTCAGAGAAGCTCTCTGAGGTAGAATATGCTAGAAGTCATGCTCCCCTCCTCCACCAGGAAACATACACAGCTACATTAAAAAAAATAAAATAAAATAACTGGACAAGCAATTTCAAGGAGCTCAAGAGACATTCTCCCATCCGCGGTAATGAGCTCTGGCGCTGACGTATATTAAGCACTTACTGTATGCTAGGCACCACTCCAAGCCCGCATTAAGTGTCCTCTGTAGGAATTCCCTGGTGGCTCAGATGGTAAAGAATCCACCTGCAACGCCGGAGACTCAGGAGACCCAGGTTCAATCCCTGGGTGGGGAAGATCCCCTGGAGAAGGGCATGACAACCCACTCCAGTATTCTTGCCCGGAGAATCTCTTGGACAGGGGAGCCTGGCGGGCTACAGTCCATGGGGCCGCAAAGAGCGGGACACAACAGAGCGAATGAAACCTGGCTCAGCTCTCAGGCCCCAGCTCTCAGGCTAGGGGTGAAGCGGCCCCAGGCCACTCCAATCTCAGAGCCGCGCTAACCTAGCAACTGCGGCACTCTGGGCAGTGATATGTAACCTGACTCGTCAAGTTCTGCCTGGTCCACTACTCCAAGCTCTGCCTCGTGGCCCCCACGAACCTGGCCCTGGGCTTGCACCTGGAGGAAGACATAAATGTCGCATATGGCTGGCGCTGATGAAACAGGCTGCTCGCGTTTCCTCTGCATCCCTTTCGAAATCAACAGAGACCGAGAACCTGCTTTCCTCTGCCACCCCCCCACCCCACTTGCTGATTCATCACCGCCTTCCCCTTCGAGAGCCATGACTGCTTTTCCCCACCCCCACCCCACGTCCCTCCTTCCTCCACTCCCGTTCTGTGATCCGACCTCTTGCACATCCCGAGGGCTAGATGATTGGGCCCTGTGGTCTCCAACAGCCTCCCCGCCCTCTGATTGAGACAAAGCGAGACACCTGTTTGACCAGGCTGGCACAGGGCAAGCTGGGAACCAGTAAGGACCCAGCAAAGGACGGCTGTTAGGACCAAATGTCTTCCTCCCCAACGCCCACACTTGAAAAATATTTTGTATTGGCCCGAATCAACACAAACCCTTTACTTTTCTTCCTAGATGTGGACACTGGATGCACACACTAGATAACAGCCACCTCTGTGCTTCATCTCACGCTATGAAGACCCAGGTCTACACATAAATCATCCCGTCCTAGCACTTCATTTTAACGGAGGAGCCTCTCAGGAAGAAAATCAGACCCCAGCAACTGAGAACAATAAAGAAACACCCTGCAAGTCAGAACAGTCCCCCGAGACGTTGTCAGCTAAGTGAGCAGACAGGCTCTGAATCCGCAGCAAAGCAGCACAGTTAGGGCGGAAGTCAGCCACCGTCCCGAGTAGCCCCACTTTCAGGTGACGCACCGTCCTCACCAGCTGATGACTGAAAGCATCACTTCTACATCACGTGCTGCTCAAGAGATGCCTGGTGATGGCGTGCTCACACAGAGACGCTCCCAGGCCAGCTACGTTTCTAGACAGTTTCTGCTTTCATTCACAGGTCAAGGAAACTCCTCTCTCACAAAACAAGTTCCAAACAGCACCTCCGTAATCCTGGAACTGCTGACGCCTGGGGGCCAGGACAGCCTCGGGATCCGGGGTGCAGGAAGCAAGAACTGCCCAGCACAGGGAGCGTCCACTCATCTGGGAGCTTCCAAGAGGCTCCAGCCCGGCAGGGAGGGCTGTAAGAGCCGGCCCAGGAGCCGGAGCATCGGAGACCTGGGCTATTGTCCCACTTCTGGGCTCTGTGACTTGGGCTCACTGCTCCGAGCCTCAATTCCCACATCAGTAAGAAGAGACTCCTCCCAGGCCACCCACCCTTCACTGGCCTTTTTCCCGGCCTTATTCTCCCAGCTCTTAATGCGGCTCACTGCTCAACTGTCCACGGGGCACAGACATCTTTGCCTGCTCCCTTCCTAGAAGGGCAGGAACTCTTTCTTCTCCCTGTGTCAGCATGTACTATTGGATAACGAAGCGATATGAAAAGTTTTATACAGAGTGCCTCTTTCCATATAGCAAGTGAAAATGTTAGTTCCTCAGCCGTGTCTGACTCTCTGTGACCCCATGGTCTGTAGGCCACCAAGCTCCTCTGTCCATGGAATTCTCCAGACAAGAATACTGGAGTGGGTTGCCATTTCCTCCTCCAAGGGATCTTCCTGACCCAGGGATCGAACCCAGGTCTCCTGCACTGCAGGCAAACTCTTTACCAACTGAGACAGGAGTTCGTCAGATAGCTATTGAATGGACGTGTGACATACAGCACATGAAGGTTGGCACTTGGCCATAGGCACAGAGGGCGTCCTCAATTCTTAGTCCCTCGGCCTGGGGCGGTGTCTCCATATCCTTATCACGTGTCACACCTCTCTGATGGTGGAACACCCTTCCCAATACGCAAACTCAGGACCAGATGTCAAGCTTCAGACTTCTTGGCAGAGCACCCACTCCCAATCCTCTCCTCTCCCTGTAGAATTTGAGCCCACACTTAAATGTTCAGGCTTGAGAATTCTCTTGAAAATTAACAAGACTTGTCAATTTTTCTCCCAGTTGGGTAGAACTGAGTCAAAGCTGCCTTCTTGGGTAGGGCATACGCTCACCTACTCAGGGCAGCCCCGGAGTCTCCCCACCTCTCCCCATCCCCTGGAGCCTGCAGGGATTCACCTGGATGCCAGTGCACCCGGCAACCTCCAGCCAGGTCCTAGGTGGCCTTGGACACCCACAGTCTAATCACAACCCTCTAATCCGAAGCATCCACTAGTGCAGGTTCCAAGAGCCTAGGCTTCCTGTGGACCAGATGGTTAACTTGGGGCTTCTCTTCTGTGCCTTCTCCAGACACCAAATAAGCAAAGTCCACTTTCCAACCTCTCCCAAACTTTCCTGCAAACACTGTCTCTTCCACACACTGGGATTAATCTTCTCTTCTTCGGGCCAGTGGAAAAGTCAAACACCTCCCCTCTCCTGGCCATGGGCAACAGCAACAGAAGAAGAGGAAGGTAGAGACACAGAGACTCATGGCAGCCACCGTGACAGTGCTGGGAACTCTGGCCAGCTGATCGTCAGAGAAAAGCAAGGCAGGCAGGGGATCCACTCTCGACAAACCTGCCTCTCCATCCTGCCTCCATACACAAGGTCCTGGATAAATTAACCCTGCTCATTGCAGTCATGCAACATCCGGAGAGAAAGAACACAAAAGCATTGCTGAATTTCCTTCAGAGGGCCAGGGAGCTGGACCTGGGAGGGGGAGAAGAGCCCCCTGCAGCTCCACTTCTGACTCACTTGTGCACCTATACTGAGAGAGAGAGCCTGGCAAGCTGCTTCACCTGCTGGCTCAGTTCCCCCAGCCAGTGGGAGGCAGGACATTCTCCTGCCAATCTTTCAGGAGCATTAGAGAGAAAAACCTATTTGATTAAAAATTACCTAGTTAAAAGGCATTTTATTACCATGCTATTTTATGCTATTTTATGATTTGTGTGCTAAGACATTCAGATTCAATCAACATACTGTTGGTAAAATTAACAAGTACCATGTTTTGGAAAGGAGGGCTCCTGATTTTGCATCACTGGGGGAAGGGGAGTAGGAAAGTTTGGGCATGGAAAATGCTGTGTGTGGGGGGGGGGCAGTTCTAGAGGAAGTTGGGGCAAATCTCCAGGTCTCAGTTTCCCCCCGGGCGCCCCGGGAGGTGCGCCCCCGGGCTGCCTTTCTGCTCCATCACCTGGTGGATGTCCTGCTAGAACCGCAGCTGATAAGAACTGGGGCCCTGCAAACCTCTCGGCTCAGCCTCACAAGACAGCGCGCCACATCCCTTCGCGGAGCGTCCTGAGGCTTCCCAGAGATACAACTTCATTCCCCCAAACTCCATGCCATCAACTCACCCTACGTGAAAGCAGCGAAGGACCTCGGGGAACGGGGAAACGGGGCCGGGGGTGGGGAAGCTGGGCTCAGCCCCAGCCTTTATCGCCTCCTTCTCAAACCTCCTTACTCCAGGCGCGGACGTCCAGCTGCCAACAACCAGCCCCCCAGCCCCAGCCTTCATTCTGTACGCGCCGCTCCAGCCCCCTCGGGGCCGACCCCGGCTGCAGGGCTGACGCGCAACGTGGGGCCGGGACCGCGACGGGGCGGTCAAGCAGCCGCGCCCAGGACCCCGGCGGCTCCGAATCCTAAACACACACGCGCGCACGCCGGCCAATCCGTTCGCCCGGAGCAGTCGAAAGGCGCTTCCACAACGTTTCATTCATTCTCCCAAAGGCTATGTTCGCTTCTCCCGGGCGCCTGCATCCCACGATCTTAAGAGGACTCCAAGGGGGCCACCTGCGCCACGACCCGTCCCCCATCAGCCCACGGCCGCCGAGTCCTCTCCACCCGCACCTATAACCCAATAGACTCGCGCTCCATCCCGATCTGCAGCGTCGCCCCCACGCAGGGGCCGATGCCACCCGGGCTCCCCGCAGTTCCGTCGCCCCGCAGCCCCCGCCGCCCCTCCACGCCGCTCTGCTCAGACCTGCAGCGCTCGGCTCGCCGCGCCCAGGCCGGCTGGGGACGCCGCCGCCGCCTCCGCCACCGCCGGGAAGCGCCGGCTCCTCCCGAGTCACACCGCCTCCGGAGCTGCGGCGGGGCGCTGGGAGGGGACAGGGGGCGGAGGGCCGGGAGGAAGAAGGCGGGGAGCAAAAGTTCAGGCCGCTCCGGGCCTCGCCGCGCCCCCATCTCCTCCCAGGCCCGCCCACGCGGTCCCCCTCCCGGAACCCGGTCCCACGGGCTTCCGCGCCTGGGATCCCCCACCCCACGCCTCCCCGCCCGGGGCAGCCGAGGGACTGGAGCCAGGGCAGGAAGGTGGCCCCGAACCCGAGTCGGGGAGAGAGTGGCGGATAGCAAACATACCAACCTGCACCGAGCTGCGCCTGGAAACTTCCCCGAAGTGCGCCGGGGAGCGGAGCGCATGGCTGGGGAATCCCCACCCCCACCTTCACCCCACGCGCGCTCCTAGGGAGAAAGCACCGATCGGTCGGTCAGTCGGTCCTCCGACTGCAGAGCGCGCCCCCCGCACCCCCATTCCGACTCCTGGGGCCGTTCTCCTGGACAGCTGGCCTGTGCGTGCCCAGAGGCAGCTGTCCGCAGCGCCACCACCCCGCCGCCGAGTCCCCGGTCCCCGAGCTCTGATCGCATTCTCCCTAGCCGGAGAGGGGGGCGTGCGAGCCCTTGGCGCCGCCGCCGTTGCCTCCGAGCAGCCCTTCCCGCGAGGTTCCCGGCGCGCGGGGCGCCCAGAGCACGGCCGGGATCGGCGGCGAGGGGACGCCCTCCGCTGGAGACTGCGATTGCCTTGGTGAGGCTGGGCCGAGGGTCGCGGGGCCCAAACCTGCCTCGGCTCTGCGCGCGCTCGCAAGTTCATTGTCTGCCTGGGCCGTCGTCGCCTCCGCCGCCTCCGCCGCCGCCGCCGCCGCCGCCGCGCGGGGAGCGCCGCGGGGAGTGAGGCTGCGCGCAGCCTCCGCCGGCCCCGGACTCCCTACGCCCAGCCGGGGCCGACCCCGGCGCTGCCCGGCCGGAACGCGGAGGGGCGCCGGAGCTCGGGGCCAGACACCCACCCGCCGCCTGTGGCCGCCCCCGCGCCGCGCCTGGCACCCAACTTGTACCTGAGAACCCGGAGTCCAGCCCGGGGGCGGCGGGGGCAGCCCAGCCTCTGCGGCTCCGCGGGAGCGCGCCCAGCCCCGCGCCCGGAGCCCAGCATGCGGGGCGCGTCAACCTGACTCCCCGAGTGCAGGGAGGAAAAGTTTTGGGAGTGACGTGCGGATGGCAAATGAAACATCTGAAGAGAACCCGCCCCCTCGCCCCGTGTCGCGCGGACACACATCAGCTCGGGTCTGGAATGTGAGACCAAGGCGTGCGCGCCGAGCGGTGGGTTTGCTTCCCGCCCCCTCCCCTTCCGAGTCAACACGGCATGGGCACTGCGGTGATTCGGAAAGGAAAGCAAACCGAAACCCCTCAAGTCTGCCAGTGACACCCTGCCAGAGACATTTTTTTTTTTTTTTTAATGAACTTGGTGGTCTGGAGTCAGCCCGTGCATTGATATTCAAGGCCATGGCGCTGGTGGGTTCTGCGCCCTCTTGTATTTTTGCATCTGGAGACGGCTCTCCCAGGCTCTTCGGCCCAGCCTGCTTGCTTTCACAGTGAAGGAAGGTTCAGCGGGACCCCGAGCCCGGCCGCAGTGGCCCCAGGCGCGGCTGCTCCAGGAAACCACCGGGCTGCCCGAGGTCAAGGAAGTGGCGCACCCGTGGTCGACCTGGAGACTCTCCACCGAAGGTAAACCAGTTGAAGAAAACACTCTGAATTCTGAAAGACTCAAGCCCAGCCTCTCAGAAAACAGATCTAAAGGATAGAAGGGGGGCGGGGGAGATCCTTGTCTTCGGTCACATAGCCTTTTGCCGGCCGAGTCCCCTTGACCACAGTCCAGCATCTTGTCCTAGGAGCAACCAGAAGTGGAGCTGAAATTTCTCCGTGTCCAGTGCCGACACACCGTTGAGGGGTGCATCCTGAGGGTACCTTCCCCCCACCCTTCCCCTCTTTCTGGAGAAACGTGATTTTTATTGCCCGAGGCTCCTCTCACCCCCAGAAACTATAGCCCACCCTGAGGTCATAAACTTCTGCTCAGCATCCATGGCAACTAATGCAGGGGTCACAATCAGAGGATTATAATTGCAGATGTGAAGCTGGGATGAGAGGGGAATTCTTCAAAACGGTATCTTGTTTTCCTGCAAATAATGCCTCTTACATAAAATCTACGAAGAGAGATTAATGCAGCAAAGAGACCAGCCTTAGAATCTCAGACTACATGCTTTTTCCATATAGACTCCACTTGGTAGGTTTTGTTCATTATTATTATTTTTAAAACAAAAAGCTTTTTCTGAAAATACAATGAGCTGCTTTTTGCAGGGTTCACAATTCCCAGTAGATGATGATGCCATTTTTCAAGGTCTTACACACGTTGTGGCTTTGGGGTTTATTTATTAGCTCCCAAGAAAAGCCTGCCTTTCAGTGAGGTTTATATATTCAAGTAATTGCAGGGGGAGGACACGGAGCAGTGTGCTGTTAAAGAAGGTTGGTTGTGCATGCGTCTGCAAGGAAGGCCTTGGGCCAGGCAGCTGTCAGACCAGAGTGTGCAATGGGTTTAAACAAACACAGGGACGGTTCTGTGGAAACACCCAGAAGGAAATCCCCTCCTGTAAGGGTGTGTGGAACATTATTCCACGGCCACACATACCTCTGTCTTTCCTCTCCTTCCAAGTAAACACATCGCTCTGTTACATAGATGGCTCGGGGCCCACCCAGGTCACTTTCAAATTCAAGTGTCAGAAATCACAGTTGACATGGAGCAAATTGTTTCTAAGTATAGTCATGCTGCCGCTTTGATACAGATTCCACCAGGGACTTTCTAAAGGTATTTATACACGTGCCTAAGATTAACTGGAGGGCAGTTTTTCCTCTCAACTTTAATTAAAAAAAAAAAAATCACCCAAGAATTGCCCTTGAGTCTGTTACTCTGGAGAGCTGAGAGAACACCCAAATACCAGATGTATGTGCATGAGTGGATGGATGGACAGATGGATATGTGTCTGTGAGAGAGGCTAGTGTATCACATTGGCAACTAGTGAGTGAAAAAAAAATGCAATTTAAGAAAATGTCCCTTCCCCGGATGCACACTTAGGCCTCCATAATTCTGGAATTAAATTGTCTGAGTTCAACCCCTGCTGCTGACACCAACTAGCTGAGTGACACTGGACAAGTCATTTCTTTCTTTGCCTCCGTCTGGCACCTATAATAGCCCCTACATGCAGTAAGTTGAATTATTGACCCTATGCAGGTTATTACACTTCTATATCCTGTCACAGCGTCATAGTGCATGGACCATGCTTCCCCATCCCTTGACTTTGGACTTACCCACATGATTTGCTTTAGATAATGAGATTTTGAAGAATGTGGCTGAATCAGAGGCTCGGCACGTGTTGCAGGCCTGGGCTTGCTCTCTTGTGCTTTGAATCCTTAATGAGAACACCACCAACACATCCTGAGAAGCTGCTACTTCTTCCATCAAGGCTCTGAACTAAACACACATGCAGCAGACCCACACTCAACTTGCAGCCTGGAGCCAAGTGATTCCCCTGTGCAGCTGACCTATAAACACGTGAACAAGGGGAAAATTCGTGTTGCAAGGTATATGTTGGAGTTTTGTTACACAGCATTTTTGTGGCAATGGCTGACTGATACATGCCCTCAGTGGGCTGGTGTGAAGATTCTTGACACAGTGACTGAAAAACACTAAGCACAATTCTTAGACCCTCGTTAGAGCTCAGGGATGTCAGCTATTATCAGTAATCAATGCTACTGAAAGTGGCTTTGCATGTAACAGTCACATGAGAACTGTTTTGCAATTGGTTAATTGAATTCATGAACAAATATTAGTTGAGCAAAGATTCTATGAGACAGTGCAAGCACATCAGAAAACTGGAAGACCGAGGACCTGCCATGATCCCCAAATTACACTCATTCACTCACTCATTTATTCATTCATCCAGCAGACATTCCCTGAACGCTTGCTCTGTGCTACACACTGGCGTGAAGGTGGGAGATACTGAGATGATTAAGTCTCTATGCCCTCCTGAGAATGGGGACCTACAGCTCCCTGCCATGTGACATACCCTGCCAAGGGCCTCCCCTGTGGTATTTCATTTGATCTTCACAATAGCCTTGTGAGCCAATATTATTGAGTCCCCATTTTTCAGGTGAGGAGACTGAGGCTCCGAAACAAAGCAACATAGGAAAAGACCAAAGGCCGCTCAATACCTTCTGTGTGCACTAGTGTCAGTGAGTTCAAGCTCACACGGGCACACCCATCAAGTGAGCGCAGTGAGAGCAGAGGAAAGAGGTGGACAGCTGCGTCTCCTGGCCTCACACATGTGGGTTGCTCAGGAAATACTGAGGCTCGGAGACCCAGGTTCTGCTTCTGCCATCCGCTGTCTGTAAGACCATGAGCCCGTCTCTTACTCTGTTTCCCACCTGGAGGGAGGAAGGACCCTGAAAGCTGCAGCTCTGCGATCTTATAATGCCGCTGATACAAGAGGCATGGCTGTTGGAAGTTCATTTTGAAGGAATGAAGTGATGGGAATCGCAGTTCCAAGAACTGGCCCAACAACTTGAAAACGGAGAGAACAAACCACTTGGGGGGAAAGGAGACAATGTCAGACCATGGGCACTGCTCATTACAAGCCCCAACTCAACAGCCACAACGTTGCTTTTGGTCACTGTACTATAGGAGCGTTGAGACCAGAGCGTCTGGGGTCTCCCCAGGTCCTCCTATCAGAATGGGATGCTCCTTTTATTTTTAATTATTTAGTTAATTTTAAAGTTGGCTGCAGCGGGTCTTAGTTGCCACCTGTGGGATCTTTGCTCTTCGTTGCAGCGTGAGGACCTTAGTCTCAGCATGAGGGATCTAGTTCCCTGAGCAGGGATCGTGCCGGCCCCCTGCACTGGGAGCGCAGAGTCTTAGCCACCAGACCACCAGGGAAGTCTCAGGAATGCCCTCCTTTTATCTGTCAGAGGACTTACTTATCACCTAATCCCCCTTAATGTTCAGTTAACGCTTTAGCAGAGCCTGGGATAAAGTTCAGTTCACCTTCACTTTATTCCCAAATGTGAGGCTCTTTCCACAGGGACAGCCTGGGGGGGCAGAAGGCTACTGGAGTCAGAGTTCCTGCGCTGGGGAGGGCCTCCCCTGGGGGTGATGGGGGTCCCTGGGCTTCAGGGCACAAGCTCTCAAATTTGTTTTGGTGGACGTGGCTTCAGCTCTCTGCCACCAGCAACGACCTGCCCCCAGCCCTGTGACTTTGACGAATTTAGACTGCTCGGTAACCTGAAGTGCATTTCAATTTCATAAATTTAAAAATACTCTAGTTAGACAGATCCCTTCTGCAGTAATGCATCCATTAAGAGCACTTT